AGCCCATTCCTTCTTATTTGTTATTCCCTTCCTTTGTTTTATCCTTATTTTTCCCTTTGCATCCTCCTCCTCCCTCTTCCTTCCTCCCTGCCTCATCACTATCCCAGCCCCATCCCACCAGCCTCAACAGCCGAGGAGCAGGAGCTGCCTGCCCCCGGCTCTTCCAGAGCTCCCGCAGCTTCCCAGGAATGCTCAGCCGGGAATGCTGAGCTGCCTGCAGCCCCAGCACGAGCAGCAGCTCCACAAAAGCAGCCCCACGCTGCCCTGGCAGCTTGTGCCTTCAGGCTGCACAGAGGGCAGGCTGACACTGCTACCCAGGACTGAGCTCCAAGCTGTCCCCGAGGTACAGGAGCACTCATCCAGCTACTCTGAATTATTCCTGCTCAGCTGGCCAGGACCAAACGTTATTTTCTGTTAAACCAACAGGGACAGGCTGTGAACACCAGGGACCCTCCTGATCTCCAGGAACGCTGTGTAAATGAATGGCCTCAGCCACTCAGAGAGGGATGTGGCCAGGGGCAGGAGCACAGGGTGGGAAAAGCATTTGAAGAGAGCTGTTACATTTTTTGGTTGTTGTTGTTTTCCTGGGCTTGTGACAGGAATTTGCCACTAGAGAAATTAATTCTCCTCCTGATGCATTCAAAATAAAGAACAATGGACCACATGATAAGCCTTCTGCAGCCTTCACCACAAAAGAGGTGCCGCATGTTTTTTACAGCCTGACAAGAGCTTTTATGCACTTTTGTATTATGTAAAATTAGGATTTTACTGCCAGAGCAGAGGTATTTCCTGATGGATTACACTGAAGTGAGCCAAGAGACCAAAGGGTCCCCAGTTGTTGGTTTCATTTCACATTTCAGTGAACAGAATGGTCCCTGAAAAGCTGCACATCTTTCAGCATTATCACAGCCAGGATACAATCACAGCTCAAGCTGTTTGTCTATGCCTTGGAAAACAAGGTAACAGCTCCTCTTTTTCCCTTTGGTCCTAAAAGATAAAAGACTTCTGTTGTTTTTTGGGTTTTTTTGTTTTTTTTTCTTTTTTTTGAGTCAGATTAAATGAAATTCAGAGACATAAAAAGCCTGGTCAAGGGCTTGTCATTGTTGATGGGGCTATTATTGCTGTTACATGGATGGATCTCACCAAAAAGGCCATGCAAAAATGATTTAGGAGCACCTGACTTTGCCTTCTGCTCCAGCAAGAGAACAGGGGACAAGGGAAATGCTTGAAGATTGTCAATAAATATAAATGCACAGCAGGCTTAGCACCTTAGGGGGACAATTCCTGTCCTGGGTCTGTTTGTCTCCCTGCAGCCACACAAGTGCTGACAGAAGGATGAGAATGCTGATGCTGCAGGAGGAGCAGGAGGGGATATCCTCCTTCGGTGGGAGAAGGAAAAAGACATTCCAATGGCCTGCAATTTTAAAAAAGAAAGGTTGCCAAATTGAAGCCTCCTGAAATCCTGCCTGCATTTTTCCAACAGCAGCAAGGTGGAAGTCAGAAGGAGCTGCTAAGCTCTCAGTGCTTTGGAGAACAAGCCTGTTAGGAAAGCACCCCCAAAAGGACAGACAGGAAATTTAAGCACACCATTAAGAGTTTTCCTTTCTCACCTCCCATGTGATTTCTTCAAGGAACTATCTCAAAAGAGCTGGACTTCAGGCTTTACATCACATCAGTAAAAGCCTCATTTTTATATTCTATCTCCATATTCGTCCTGTGACAGAGGAACCAGACATAAAAAACACTTGGCAAGAGATGATGGAAGCTCTGGTGAAACACCTACCTAGGTTAATGCTGAGAGTCACTCTGAGTGACTCTTAAAGTGATTCAGCTACAAAAACGTCCTTAAAATAAAGAAAAAAAAAATCAGGAATTCAAGGCCCTTGAACCACAATTTTCAGTCTGTAGATTACACAGGCTTTGTGGGGTGCTTTTAACAAACAATAGGTTTGACGTTCTTCAACTTGCATGCAGGTATCTAAGACTCAACTGAAAGAAAAAGCCTATAAAGGAACAGAACTTGCAAAGACACACCAGGTGAAGGTGTCATTGTAAGAACAGCAGCTGAGCTGCCCAGCACAAGCCTTGTACACTCTTGGATCACTATCCAAAGCTGTTACTACTCCTCCTCTAGACAGAGCCCTGAGCTGCACCCAAACCTCCCTGCCCTGGTTTTTAACGCCCCCTGGATTGCCCTGACCCCAGGGTTAGATGCAGGTCAAAAGCTCAGTTTCCTAAATGAAAATCTCTTCTGACAACGAAGAGAAGCCCAAAAAGGGGAATACTTAGCAAGGCTAGATTTTTTTTTTTTTTTTAGGCTTCAGTTACAGGGGCTGCCAGGACAATGCACGCTGTCCGTGGAGTGCCGAGGATGCGATGCAGGAGCTGGCCGGCAGCATTGCCTCCCTGTGGATCGCAGGAAAGCCCCGAGGCTGGAGAGCCCCGCGGAGCTGTCCCTCACCCGCGACACCGGAGCTGTCCCTCACAGCCGACACCGGAGCTCGTCGGGCTCTGCTGGCTCCTGCAGCATCCCCTGCACCAGGCACAGGAAGCCTCATGACCTCATTCTCCCGGGCTAAAAATCAACTGCTCGGGGAGAAAAGTCAATTTTAGGTGTTTTCTTAATCCAGTCTCCTAACAGCAAGGCAAGTCCAAACAAGAATATACCCTGAAAGACTTGAAATCCATGTCCACTCCTCCTCAAGGGGACAGCCTGCCTGAATTCAGCACTAGCTTTGGTTTCTCAAGAACAAAGCTGAAATTTGCCCCTCTCATTTAACCTCCGCCCAAGCTTTTCACCTGAGGCTCAGCTCCTTATCAGCAGCTCTTTAAACAGCCCCTCTGCCCCAGGGTGAAGTCACCCCACCAGAACCCCTTCTACAGAGAGCAAAGGAAACAGGTCGTGAATTATTTTGCTTTTATCATAAATAACCTCTCCTCCTGGTGAAGGGATTTCCAGCCCGTTAACTGCGGGCCTGCTGCACGGAGATGAACCACAGCCTGCAGAAATCAATAGCTCTGACTCTAATGAGTTCTGAATCACGCTCAGCACGCCCGGAGATACATCCCACACTTCCAGCAAAGAAAAATATGGATGTTGGTAGATGCATTGGCAGTAATATATGCTAATGAAGGTAATGTAACCTAACAACACGTGAATTATTGATGTGGGCATGTTTAAACAGAAAAATCAGCAAGGAATCACACCACACCGATCCAAGCCAGTGTTTGCTCACCAACAGGCAACTGGAACACACTCGTTACCACTCGATCAGCTTGGAAAGATCTTTGTTGGGTAATCCATGTCTCACCTGCTCCGCAAGTCTTTAAATTCCACATTGCCATGTGACACTGGGTGATCTCAACGAGCCCTTTGTATTGGCATCAAAAGAGCGACTTTTACACACCTACGCAGCCTCTAAACCCCACAAACAGCCTTTAAAACCCTCGCTGTCAGCCCAAACGCGGCGGATCCCAAAGCGCCGGGAGAGCCACCAACACCACCGGGAATGACACCAGCACCACCGGGAATGTCACCAGCACTACCGGGAATATCACCAGTGCTGGCAGGAGAGCCACCAGCACCAGCGGGAATGTCACCAGCATCACCGGGAATGTCACCAGCATCACCGGGAGCGCCACCCGCACCGCCACCACCGCGGACACGCAGCGGGACACGGGGACACGGCGCGTCTCCCACTGACCCCAGGAGGGTTTTTGTTATGGGTGATCTCAACGAGCCCTTTGTATTGGCATCAAAAGAGCGACTTTTACACACCTACGGTTCCCCTAAACTTTTCAGACATTTATAACAAATCATATTGCTTTGCCCGCATTATTTTGCTTAATCTTATTTATCAGAGTCACAGATAAGGGCTGACTTAGCCTCTGTTTCACAACAATTTATAGAAGTCTAACTCTCGTGAATGAAGCCAAGTTGCTCCTGATTGCCATGAGAATGGAACCAGTTCCTTTGTCTGGCACAGCTCTGGTTCCCAGGATGTCAAGGCAGTTGACTCAGCTCTATCCTAAAATAAACATGGTTTGTCTACCTAGAGAGGTTTATCACATCCATCACCATGTTCTCCTAATGTATTTAGGGAAAATTCATTTTGTACCACGGTAAAAGCAGGATATATGTTCAATAACCATCAGTGTTAATTTTGCTGTTATTCCATTATCCTGCGAGATCTAATCATTCTGTCTGTACTTTGGGGTGGGCTGGCTCCACCTCTGTGGTATCTGGGAACTACATTGCAGACAGGCTTTATTTTGGTGAGGGCTGTTGGGGAATACGGATTTTTACAGTCTCATCTTGTCCTCACCAGGTTATACTGATATGCATCACCCCCACAGGGATGTAGACAAAAGATTTCCTAGTTCACCCTGCAGCCAAAAAATCCCAACACAACCTGCAGCCAATCGCACATTCCTGGGAGTTTAGTGCTGCATTCAGGTGTGAGAGACTTGAGAGGGCAGGGGAGAACAATGTCCCCTGCCCGGGGCCAAACGAGTCCCTGGGCTGTCCCCCAGGAACTCAGCCACTCTCCCCAGAGAAATCAGCATCCTCAGTGCCCAAATCAGCTTTGCAAAGCCACAGAGAAGAAAACGGAGCTTAACTGAGATAATTAAAACAGCTGCTTATTTCGGCAGAGTTATCACATTACCGCCTCTCAAAGCAGGCCATTAATCTGACTGATAATAACATATTGCACTCTGCTCCTCAGTTTTCCCAGCTCTTATAAGAGAAACACACCAAGCTTTTTTTTTTTCTAGTTGTATTTAGGAATATTTGGGGTTCTTTTTTTGAGGAAGGAGGGCATCGGGGGACTGCTGCGTGCTTATCTGCCATGTTAAAACAGATAAACACACAGTGAAAGATAACCCCTGTTTATTTATTGAATAAATGTGCCACAATTCCCATCACTAGAGCCCAGTGACAACCAAGGGGCACGTCCGTGTGCGCAACCATGCAGGAGCACATTCTGGTTTTGTTTTACCTTTTCCGGAGCCGGGAACTGCAGGTGATTTACTTCCAAAGGCGTGATCAAAGGAACTGTCTGAAAACCATCTTCGTTGGATGGTTGTTTGTTGTTCTTGTCGTTCAAATTACTCCCCAGCTTCACCATCCTTGCACCCGGCTTTCCAGACCTGAAAGCGGGGGAGACGAGCAATGTCACCGGGGCAGGGGGAAGGGGACAATTCCTGCCTTGCCCTGCTCGCTTTGGGTTCAGGTGTCGGTGCCTGGGTTTCAGGGAATGTCACTTCACTACACCAAAGCGTTTGCCTTACACAGACACGCTCTAAACCCCAAAAACAGACGAGCAATGTCACCGGGGCAGGGGGAAGGGGACAATTCCTGCCTTGCCCTGCTCGCTTTGGGTTCAGGTGTCGGTGCCTGGGTTTCAGGGAATGTCACTTCACTACGCCAAAGCGTTTGCCTTACACAGACACGCTCTAAACCCCAAAAAACACCCTCTAAACGCCACAAACACCCTCTAAACCCTACAAAAAAAAAAGCCTTTAAATCCCACAAACAGCCTCTAAACCCCACAAACAGCCTTTAAAACCCTCGCTGTCAGCCCAAACGCGGCGGATCCCAAAGCGCCGGGAGAGCCACCAACACCACCGGGAATGACACCAGCACCACCGGGAATGTCACCAGCACTACCGGGAATATCACCAGTGCTGGCAGGAGAGCCACCAGCACCAGCGGGAATGTCACCAGCATCACCGGGAATGTCACCAGCATCACCGGGAGCGCCACCCGCACCGCCACCACCGCGGACACGCAGCGGGACACGGGGACACGGCGCGTCTCCCACTGACCCCAGGAGGGTTTTTGTTACCCCTCTCCCATTTTTGCAGCCCCCTGCAGGGTTCAGAACCCCCTCCCCTGCACATCCCAGAGCGCTCGGGGGTCCCCCCTTCCCAGCTCCCCGGGAGCCGGCGTTCAGGGCGAGGGTTCTGCGGGCACGGCTGCGTTACTTACTGCCAAGCAGGCGGCGAGAGGCGGCGGCGGGGCCGGTGTGGAGCCCGCGGTGTCCGCGGGGGGAGCGGTGCTGAAGGGACAGCGCTGCGCTCGCTGCGGCTCCGCCGGTGACTGAGGCGGGCGGGGCGGCGGCTTTCCAGACCTGAAAGCGGGGGAGACGAGCAATGTCACCGGGGCAGGGGGAAGGGGACAATTCCTGCCTTGCCCTGCTCGCTTTGGGTTCAGGTGTCGGTGCCTGGGTTTCAGGGAATGTCACTTCACTACGCCAAAGCGTTTGCCTTACACAGACACGCTCTAAACCCCAAAAACACCCTCTAAACGCCACAAACACCCTCTAAACCCTACAAAAAAAAAGCCTTTAAATCCCACAAACAGCCTCTAAACCCCACAAACAGCCTTTAAAACCCTCGCTGTCAGCCCAAACGCGGCGGATCCCAAAGCGCCGGGAGAGCCACCAACACTACTGGGAATGACACCAGCACCACCGGGAATGACACCAGCACCACCGGGAATGTCACCAGCACTACCGGGAATATCACCAGTGCTGGCAGGAGAGCCACCAGCACCAGCGGGAATGTCACCAGCATCACCGGGAATGTCACCAGCATCACCGGGAGCGCCACCCGCACCGCCACCACCGCGGACACGCAGCGGGACACGGGGACACGGCGCGTCTCCCACTGACCCCAGGAGGGTTTTTGTTACCCCTCTCCCATTTTTGCAGCCCCCTGCAGGGTTCAGAACCCCCTCCCCTGCACATCCCAGAGCGCTCGGGGGTCCCCCCTTCCCAGCTCCCCGGGAGCCGGCGTTCAGGGCGAGGGTTCTGCGGGCACGGCTGCGTTACTTACTGCCAAGCAGGCGGCGAGAGGCGGCGGCGGGGCCGGTGTGGAGCCCGCGGTGTCCGCGGGGGGAGCGGTGCTGAAGGGACAGCGCTGCGCTCGCTGCGGCTCCGCCGGTGACTGAGGCGGGCGGGGCGGCGGCTCCCTCCCCCCCCCCACACGGCCCCC